TCAATTTGTAAGGATGATCTATCTAGTGTGTCTAGAATAATATCTACTTAACAATGATATTACTGAGTTAATGTTATTATACTGAACTTGCTATATATGCACTTTGCTTCTTAGGAAAAGTTTTCTACAGTGTTCCTGCTACTACCCATGGCTGGTTTTGATATCACTGTCATGTTATTACCATAATATTAGGTGGGGTAACTACTCTTTTTGTCTCTCCTTGGGTTTGTTTAAAACAGATATGATGTTTTCCCTGAAGATGTTATGGAACTAATTGTAAACCCGTTGTGTGTGCTTTACTGTATCACTTTTGGTCAGAAATCCTTTTCAATGTGCCATTTTAAATTTAGAATTTAAATTTAGAACTTCAGACATTTGTATTTTATTTATATGATTTATATTTCTCTCCTCTCTCTAGATCTTCCTAGACTCTGAATTTCTTTCAAGTTCATAACCTCTTCTCCTTTAATTGTTATTGCTACACACACACACACACACACACACACACACACACACACACACACAATCTGCTGATCCTAGTTAGCATTGCTCTTATGTATTCGTATTTAATGTACTTAGTGATGAACAACTGGGGTCCACTAACCTATAAGGAGACTGACTCTCCCTTTCTCAGCGCCATTTATTGCTTGTAGATCTAGGGATGGGACCTTGTGAAATTTCCCTTTTCCTTATTGGCATGTTGACTATTGTCATTATGCAAGACTTGTTTAGGCAATCACATGGCTGATGTTTCATGGGTGAAACATCCGATTCATGTCTAGGAGACTCTATCTTATAAGAGAAGTTTGAGTTCACTCTGGTCTGGCTCTTTCCACAGTGATTTCTGAGCTTCTGATATACAGGTTACATTATGAACGTTCCAATTGGAGATGAGCACTCTGTGATCAACTCTCTGTATTCTGGGGCAGTACTGTATCTCTGTAGTTGCCTCCACCTGCTACAAAAAATGTAATAACACTGAGTCATTGTTGAAGCCACAACATCAAAGTTTCTGTTAGTCAAGAGTTGCTGGGCAAAAGTTACCAGAATTTAAGGATATAGCTGAAGATAACACATACTTTGGACACAGTACTTGAAGAAATGAGACTGGATCTGAGCTGGAAGTCTCCTCTCTGGGGACTAACTCATAATAGCCAAAGATGATACAAACTGCTAAGAGAGAAAATCAACCAGTACCTATGCAGCTGTAAAGCCTACAACAATGACTGGCTTGCCAAGGTTTTTCCAACAGTGCAATATACTGGCACTCGTATTCTTGAGAATAACCAGCAGCTGCATAGCTGGACTTAAACCTTGCACAATAGGAGGAAATTCATGCCTGCTGCTATAAACTTAGCCAATTACCCATGGCTGCACAGGCCATGGAACATAAAGAAGAACCTTCTAGTGCCATTTTCTAAACTAATATAATTTCTAACTCTATGTTAAATGTTTACCCTTACATCTAGAGGTAGGTGTAGCTCTAACTCCTCACCAGGGAGGCTCTTTTTGTAACAGATGGAGACTATTATCCACAACTGGTCAAAACACAGAGAATAAGCAAGTGTGAGATACCCAGTCCCAACAGAAGCTCTACACCTAAGGCTCTGGGAACATCATGGAAGAAGGGGCAGAAAGTTTTTAAGAGTCAGAGACCCAGGACATATGCTGTTTGATAGTGTTTCCTAGTCATGACAGAGAAAATGCATCCATGAAATTTCAACAATAGGGTTTCCTGAATAAGATCAGCATAATGACAATACTTGACATACCGATGTGAACAGGGGAATTTCCACATTGTCCCACCCCTAGTGAAGAGCCACATATGGCCAATGGTTGCTGAGAGAGGGAGAAACAGTTTCTTCTAGGAACAAACTCCCACATTGCCTGTCCAATCCCAAGTGTCCAGCACTGGATGCATGTAATATGAGCAAACTAAATGGATTTCATAGGTTTTGTATACATGAGTATATACTTACACACATACATGTTTATATACATGAAGCAGTAATAATTAAAGATATCATAACTTTGGAGGTGGTATATAGCAGGAGTTGAAAGGGGAAAAGCAGAGGCAGAAGTAATGTAGATATAGTACTTATTATGTAATTCTCAAAAATAATATTAAATTAAAAACAATAAAAAGAAAATGCATTTTGTTGATTGGGCTTGAGTTATAAAGAACATTTTTTTTTTTTTTTTTGGTTTTTTGAGACAAGGTTTTTCTGTGTAGCCCTGGCTGACCTAGAACTCACTCTGTAGACCAGGCTGGCCTTGAACTCAGAAATCCGCCTGCCTCTGCCTCCCAAGTGCTGGGATTAAAGGCGTGCTCCACCACCACCTGGCCAAGAACATTTTTAAAATAATTAAATTATCTGCTTTTATAGCCAACTATACAAAATTTAACATTTAACTACCTCTAGATTTTTCATATGTGTGATTTTTATCTTCCAACTAAATTATAAACAAGTTGAATATAAGAATTATGACTTATGCATACTTTTCAGAGTGGCAAACACCATGTTGAATAGATACCTTTAATATGTAGACATTTTGGCTAATTTTAGCATATACCTTTCCTACAAGCATAATTTCTCATACATTTATTAAGGATTCTGGTTAGTCAGGCTTTCATAATGGATGTCTTTCTGTACATTAAAGATCTTAAAATTGTTTCTGAACTTTACATTGGGCCTCTTAAGTTTTTAATCACTTAGCCTTAATGACTAACTCAGGTTGCTCATAAGAGTAATGGCCCATTCATTTATTTAATCTGTCTCAATAATTGGTGTAGTTCATTGAAGCTAATAGTTCAAATGCTGTGCTTGATCTGGCAAGCAAATGCAACTGCGGTGAGTATGACAGCCATTCGAGAGGTGGCTAGAATCTTGCAGTACTACAGGATAAATGGCTTTGAGGGAAGCCTGCTGGTGTCCAGGGGATCTAGAAGTTGTAAGGAAGGCCCCATCCTCTACATGCAGGTGTGTGCAGTTCAATCAGATTTGTTTATCTCTTTCACTTTCTGACGTTGTCTATTTGGTGTTGATTGAATAACAGCTTAAATACATATGATTTTAAAAAAGGTTTTATTAGTATATGGCAACTATGTATAATATTGGTTTATTATGTATATATGGTTTTATATTTGTACTTAACATATTCTGATCATATTAAACAATAGCTCATTAGGTAAAAAGAATCTATTTTCAATAAAAAGGGAAAAATAAAAACTCTCTATATCCTTTAAATATAACACTGAAACCATGCAAGCCTGTTAATATTTTTACATAGCTGAATAAATTCTTAAGGTATGAAAGAAAAAAACTTGAAAATTACTTCTGAACTTTATAAATATGGCACATCTCCAATCATTTATTTATTTATTTGTCTAACATGTTATATATATATGCAATAAATTGTAACTGGCTATCATTCCTTATCATAAAGTTTTCATTTCCCTTGTTCTCAGGAAAGCAAAATGAATAAGAATAATGAAATTTGATCATGGCAAAATAGAATATGGTTACTATCTCTAATTTGGCTAAGACATAAGAAAATGTTAGCTGGTGAAACTGAAGTTGGACACTAAGTTTTTTAACTCATTCTTTTGGGGCCTACGACAGAGCCTGTGAGATCCAGAAGGTGCTAACTACAGAATGTAACAGGGATTTACTGGAGACAGTAAACAGCCATAACACATTCCATGTTGAGAGCCTGGGGAGACCAAGATTTATGGTAAAGTGCAGTTTTTTTCTGCCTCCATAAAGCTGGAGGCGAGCTTGGTGATGGGCTGATTTGCTTTCATCTTCAGGTGGTAAGAAAAGGACGCGGCACCTTTGTTGGAGGCATGGTAACTAGCATCTTGCTGCACGGCCAGCACACAGGACCATCTGTCTCACCTTCCTTAATGTATCAGAGAAAATTTTCAGCACACACCCAAGTAAGTCCTAGTAGAAAGACACAGGCATGAGGAACAACACAGGGCAGTGTCCTATGACATAGTAATGCTGTGTGACACAAGCAATACCTTAGATAAAATGGCTAAATAATAGTTTGAACACTTAAAATCTCATGCACAGGTCACCAAGCCACTTTCCTTATTTTTCTTTTTTTTTCTTTTTTTTTTCTTTTTGGTTTTTCGAGGCAGGGTTTCTCTGTGTAGCCCTGGCTGTCCTGGAACTCACTCTGTAGACCAGGCTGGCCTCGAACTCAGAAATCCACCTGCCTCTGCCTCCCAAGTGCTAGGATTAAAGGCGTGCGCCACCACTGCCCGGCACCAAGCCACTTTCCAATGTAAGAAAATTTTGTTGAGTTCTGTCTGGTCTTTAAAAAAGATGTGTACAAGCAGTGTACCATATCTTCTGAAGAACTGCAGGTAGATCATAATTCAAGGCAGTGTACCATATAGACCATGACATGTTTCAAGGCACAGGCCAAGAAGATTTTGTACTTTTCCACCACCTGGACCCTCTTACCCCCTCCCCTTGTAAAACACGCTATAAAAAAGCATTTCATGTTCAAAAAAAAAAAGAAATTAAAAAAAAATAAATAAATAAAACTGAAAAAAAAAAAAAAAGATGTGTACAAAGGATAGTCTGTGTCCCAGGAGCAGGTAGGGAACAGACTTCAGATAGATGCTTCTAGATCTAGAACTCACTAGACTGAGTTCATATAAGATGAGAGAACTGGTGTCTCAGAGATTTCATAATTTGGTAAAGTCAGAGGCAGGAGTAGAACCAGCAACTCATCCCTAATTCTGTATACCAAATGTAGCCACTGCCATGACTTAAGGTGTGAACCTTTGGTGCTCTTCAGTTCATTTGGGTTCCTGACTTCCAGATATTAGAAGTTGTTTTTGTCATCAACCACTGCAGAAAACTTTCAATTATTATCTTGATATGATAATTAAAAGCTTCTATTGTACTTAAAGATTAGAATTTGTGAGAATGACAGGAAAGTCAGTATCTAAAGTTCTTTCCCCCAAGTGTTCCAAAAAATATAAGGAATACAGATGCTTCACAAATTTGCTTGTCGTTCTTGCAAGCACCATGCTAATCTTTTTGTATCATTCCAACTTCAATATATGTGCCACTGAAGGAAACACATGATTTCTGAGCAAGCAATTGATTATTCAGGAGTGCTGAATTGCTGGATAGTAAAGTCAGTTAAGCTCCAGTGAATCTCCTTAAGCTGGAGAGCAAAATATTAAGCTGGAGAGTAAGCCAAAACTCATACATGGGAATGGAAGCACAAATCGTTCTATCTAAAAAGCAAGGCTTTCTTCTGTCCATGTACTAACATCTTGACTCATCCTTCCATCTGTAAATTGACTTGATTCTTAGAGTCAATCAGTTAAATCTAAGATCTGATTTGTGATAGACAACAGGGCAAAGAAAAAGGACCAAAACATACTTTTTTTTGTTTTTGTTTTTGTTTTTTGAGACAGGGTTTCTCTGTGTAGCTCTGGCTGTCCTGGACCTCACTCTGTAGACCAGGCTGGCCTCGAACTCAGAAATCCGCCTGCCTCTGCCTCCCAAGTGCCGGGATCAAAGGCATGCACCACCACTGCCTGGCTCAAAACATACTTTCTAGGTTTCTGCATCCTTTGGTTTTTCCCAATAGATAACTTTAGTTTCTAATACTTTATGAACAGTTATACTTAATGTACTGTAACTGAATGACAATAGAAATTAAATGGATATGATATTATAAATAGATCCAAGAATTGTGACCATTTACCTACAAAATAGAATATAAACATTTATCTAAAAACAGGCAACTGAAAAAAATAACATTTGAACATTAACATAAGGAAGTAGTTTAGACTTATATCTTTGGGGATTTTATTCAGAATATAAAAAATTAAAGGTAATGAAAGAGAAGAGAAAGTTTATTAATTTGGGTAATCGTGGTTTGTGAGAACTTAGCTTGACAAACAGCGCAAGGAAAGTACAAAATGGAAGGGAAGTGTAATAGAAACCACTGTAAAGCAGGACAAAATTAACATTAAGAAAATATTTATAGAGGTGACTCATCAAATGACTTAATTGTCAACAATTGAGATGGGCATAATATAAAGCAGGTTATAAATATTCAAGAATTTATTCTAGGGAGATAATTATGAGATATAACGATCAGTAGCCTCCCTGGGAAGAGAGTCAGCACTTCAGCAGGATTTACTGTAACTCATGGTGACCTGCCATGTGTGACTAGAAGAAAGAGAAGTGTGGTGTTTGCTTTAAATGTAACCTGTCACAAATTAGAATCACCTGAGTGGGGAGCCTCACCTGTCGAACTGTCTTGACTTCCTTGACTGATGTGCACCGAGAGTGTAGGGAGCATCTTCTGGTAGCAGCCCGGATTAAAAGGACATAGCCGAGAGTAAAGTACTCACCTTGTGCTTGCTTGGCCTTCCCTCTTGCCTGCTCAGCCTCTACCTTTGCTGCCAAGTTCCGTTGATGATAGACTCTAACATGTGAGAAATAGCAATTCCTTCCTCCCCGAGTTACATCTGCTATGGTGTTTATCACAGCGCCAGACAAGTAAACTAGGAAAGGAAGTCAGGAGTGAGTGGCCACCCATCCAAGACAGTTTGTACCGTTAGATGATCCTCTTATCGTTGAGAGTTTATAATACTGTCCATTCTGAGAAGATGGGAGGCATTTACTCTGAAATGTACAGGTAACTAATACCATTCTGAGATCTTCCTTGTCCTGCAGGTATATTTCTGAATAAAAGACAGTACATTGACTCTTTTCTTCTTAAACTTGGTTATTTTTGCTTCCATTTTTTTTTGGCCTACATTTTTATAGTCATTTAAAGACTCTTTATCTATAAAATGTTTTTTCTTTTGGATTCTCCTTTGAACAATGATAACATCTTTTTATTACCTCATTAATGAGCTAAAGATAAGTTTTTTTTTCCTTTTCAGTGTTGGGGATCAAATCCAAGGCTTTGTATATGCTGGACAAGTGCACTATCTCTGACCTACATTCTTAGTTCCAAAGAAAATTTTTACTATGAAGTAGCCTTTTTATCTGTGTCAAAGTCACAATTAGAGTGATTTCTTTTGAAGTGCGTCCTTTAACATCACTTAGGAAACAAAATTCACTCTATACCCAATTAGTTGGAATGAGTGACCAGAACATCTATTTCAATGGCATGCTAAATTTTCCCACACTAATTAAACATATTCTTTGCTTAGTGAGCACGTTAAAGAAGTTTCTCCTTTAATTAGTTTCTTGCTAATCAATCATTTTCAATCTGATCGTCTTCTCCGTGGGGAGGAAGGGAAGCAGGTCTTTTGCCTGAGTTTGTACTGAGGATTTGGTTTGCTTTGTTGCTGCTTTTTCTATTCTTAAATGGCTGATCACATTATGCGAAGCACAGAACTGTCTGTTTACTCTCCCTGTGAGATCATGTTTTATGTAGAATTATGAAGGTTCTCTTCCTTCTTGGATAATGGGATGAATTTATGGCATGGCTTCAGTCAAGCAAGCAAATCATCAGGCAACTTCTAAGTTCTCGGAAAGATGCTACAGTGTGTTAAGACAATGCATCCTTGCCTCAGTGACTTTGAAGTCCAAGTGCCAAGAAGAATGAGAATGAGAAGCCAATACAAATCACTAAAAGACTAAGTTGGTAGATTTTAAGAATGAAGTAGAAGTGCAGAGTAAAGAATAATCAGCATGGATTGGCATAGCCAGAAGAAGCTTTCCTGAAAGAGATGGTCTGGGTGTATTTGTACTCTGAAATGTATATGTAGAAACCTAATCTCTAATATGATGGTGTTAAGAAGCCAACTTTAGAAGAATGTTAGGCCATGAGGGCCCCCAAGCAATCATGGGTTGTATGAGTACTCTTGTAAAAGAGGCTCCCATAGAGCCTCAGTTTTCTTCCTAATATCAGCCATGTGGCTCATAGTATGTATCAGTTACCCTTTTTCATGTTCAAAAGCAACTCTTGGAAGAAAAGGTTTATTTTGGTTTACAGTTCCAGAAAGATGAGAGTTCTTTCTTTCCTTCTTTCTTTCTTTCTTTCTTTCTTTCTTTCTTTCTTTCTTTCTTCCTTCCTTCCTTCCTTCCTTCCTTTCTTTCTTTCTTTCTTTCTTTCTTTCTTTCTTTCTTTCTTTCTTTCTTTCTTTCTTTCTTTCTTTCTTTTTCCGAGACAGGGTTTCTCTGTATAGGACTGGCTGCCTCGAACTCAGAAATCTGCCTGCTTCTGCCTCCCAAATGCTGGGATTAAAAGCATGCACCACCACTACCTGGCAAGATGAGAGTTCTTATAGGTGTGGGGACAATGTAGTGAGTGGTTGGCACGGTGGCAGGAGCGGGAAGCTGAGGACTTACCTTCTGAATCACGAACAGAAAGCAAAGGTCGCACTTGAACTGGGCTGGGGTTTTGAACTCCCACCCTCCACACCCCCACTGATATACATCCTCTACCAAGGCTGCATCTTTCCATAACTTCTCCAAACAAGACCACGAACAGGGGAGCAAATGTTCAGACAATAGGGAGCACTTCTTATTCAAACCTCTACATGCTAATTTTTTTATAGTTGCCTGAATAAACTAAGGCAAAGAAGAATGAAAATAAGATGTCTGTGTCAGAGCCGATGACTTGTAAAAATAGGGACCTTTATACTTGTTCTTGAGAAAATCTCCAGAATTCTTTCCAAAAAATGCACACATATTTATACTTGGCGTTGTTTCTCGTGAGAGAGTCCATAACTTTTGTCAGCTGCTTAGCTAGAATTTTGAGACAGTGTTATCAAGAGTGGTTCTTGCTAAAGGCTATGAAGAGGATGTGTTCTGTGCTTTGCTATTGTTTTCTGTTAACCCCCAGTGTTCCTTGACTTATAAATATATCATGTATTTGCATAGTATTTTGCTTGTGTGCACGTCTATGCCAAAGTTTCCTCATTTCATGAGGATACCAGTTTTATTAGATTAAAGACCTGCATAAATTTGACCTCATCACAGTTAATTACATTACTGGTGACCTTATCTATAAATAAATTCTTATTTTGAAGTAGGGTTAGGTCTTCAATAGATGAATTTCTGCAGTTTACAAATCTACAATTCCACTTGATATGCGTTGGTTAATTAATACTCACAGAATGACTGAAAGATGCTTTATGTTTGGTTTTGCATTGTTTTAATCTTTTTGAGACAATGTCTGGCTATAAAGGCTAAATTGGATTAGAATTTACTAAGTAACTGAGGATAGATTTGAACTAGCATCCCTCTTACACTCCTGAGTGCTGGGATTACAGGCATGTACACGTTATTTACAGATGGAAAACTTCTAAACAAAAATTTCATGATATGAAACAGTAAGAGCACACCAACAACCTACTGAGCTCATAGCTCAGCAAGAGCCTTATGAAAGACTGCTATGTGCACATGCTTTATCAAATGTCACCACAATCCTCCTTCTTTTGGCAACTATAATGAGACCCCATTTCTCTAAAGCTGTTGGCACAGTGGTAAAAGGTGGTGGACTGACCCAGCAACTCAGCATTTTCTGTGCTGTATAAAGTATGCCCATGAGAATAACTTGTCAGAACTACATAGGTAGCTGTGAACAAGCCAGGCTGACATGTCTTAATCCATGTCGTAATATGTTGGGAGCCTACTCCTAGCAGAAAGCGGCTATCATCTTTGCAGTCATCTCAGGCCATATACCCTGACAAGAGACTTGTTTCCAACAGCCTGCAACAGCTGAGCACACTCTGATAAACATCTTGTTTTTCTCACGTATCTTGTTTTGTTGTTTAGTGCCCCCACCTGCAAGGTGCACATGGTATCCACGCTGCAAGGCACGCGGCAAAGTGCCTTCAGTTGTGTTCCCCTGGTTGTCCACGAGGGCAAGGCATGTGGTAAAGCGTATAAATACCCAGGATTTCCTTTCAATAAATGTGACTTGATCAGACCCTCTGTCTTGTCTCCATTCTTTGCATCTCTTGTCCCTCCATCCCCACTCTCTCTCTTGCTAGACCCCAACCTGTGGACCAGAGCAGTAGCTCGGGCCTGGGGCAGTAATATATATTGTAGTGCCTGAAGTTGGATACTTTATAAATAAAGAGGCTTATTTGACTCATCA